AAAGAGAACTCAAGAATACAATCCCATTTACAATCACAACACAAAGAATAAAATATCTAGGAATAAATTTAACTAAGGAGGTGAAACGCCTATATGCTGAAAACTATAAGACATTATTGCAAGAAATCAAAGATGACATAAAGAAATGGAAAGATATGCAATGCACATGGATTGGAAGAATCGACATAGTTAAAATATCCATACTACCTAAAGCAATCTACAGATTCAATACAATCCCAATCAGAATCCCAATGATATTCTTCGTGGAAATAGAACAAAGAATCCTAAAATTTGTATGGAACAACAGAAGACCACGAATAGTGAAAGCAATTCTGAGAAAAAAGAACAAAGCTGGAGGCATCACAATCCCTGACTTCAAAATATACTACAAAGCTATAGTAATCAAAACAGCATGGTATTGGCACAAAAACAGACACACAGATCAATGGAACAGAATTGAAAGCCCAGAAATAAAACAACACATCTATGGGCAGCTAATTCTCAACAAAGGAGCCAAGAACATACAATGCAGAAAGGAAAGTCTCTTCAATAAATGGTGTTGGGAGAACTGGACAGCCACATGCCAAAGAATGAAAGTAGACCATTATCTTACACCATATACAAAAATTAACTCAAAATGGATTAAAGACTTGAAGGTAAGACCTGAAACCATAAAATTCCTAGAAGAAAACGTAGGCAGTACACTCTTTGACATCAGTCTTAGCAGCATCTTTTTTGTTTTTTTTGCTGAGGAGGATTCGCCCTGAGCTAACATCTGTGCCAATCTCCCTCTATTTTGTATGTGGGTCACTGCCACAGCATGTCTGCCAATGAGTGGTGTAGTCTGCACCCAGGAACCGAACCTGAGCCACCCAATGGGAGCACACTGAACTTAACCACTAGGCCATGGGGCCAACCTCTTAGCAGAATCTTTTCAAATACCATGTCTACTCAGGCATGGGAAACAAAAGAAAAAATGAACAAATGGGACTACACCAGATTAAAGAGCTTCTGCAAGGGCCAGCCCCGTGGGTTAGCGGTTAAGTGCACGCGCTCCGCTGCTGGCGGCCCAGGTTCGGATCCCGGGCGTGCACCGATGCACCGCTTCTCCGGCCATGCTGAGGCCGCGTCCCACATACAGCAACTAGAAGGATGTGCAGCTATGACATACACCTATCTACTGGGGCTTTGGGGAAAAAAAGGAGGAGGATTGGCAATAGATGTTAGCTCAGAGCTGGTCTTCCTCAGCAAAAAGAGGAGGATTAGCATGGATGTTAGCTCAGGACTGATCTTCCTCACAAAAAAAAAAAAAAGAGCTTCTGCAAGACAAAGGAAACCAGGAACAAAACAAAAAGACAACCCACCAACTGGGAGAAAATATTTGCAAATCATATATCCAACAAGGTGGTAATCTCCAAAATATATAAAGAACTCATATAACTCAACAACAAAAAAACAATCAACCTAATCAAAAAATGGGCAGAGGATATAAACAGACATTTTTCCAAAGAAGGTACAGATGGCCAACAGGCACATGAAAAGATGTTCTACATGACTAATCATTAGGGAAATGCAAATCAAAACTACAATGAGATATCACCTCACATCTGTCAGAATGGCTATAATTAACAAGACGAGAAATAATAAGTGTTGGAGAGGAGGTGGAGAAAAGGGAACCCTCATACACTGCTGGTGGCAATGCAAACTGGTGCAGCCACTATGAAAAACAGTATGGAGATTCCTCAAAAAATTAAAAATAGAAATACCATACGATCCAGCTATCCTACTACTAGGTATTTATCCAAAGAACAAGAAATCAACAATACAAAGAGATCTATGCACCCCTATATTCATTGCAGCATTATTCACAATAGCCAAGATGTGGAAGCAACCCAAGTGCCTATCAACTAACGAATGGATAAAGAAGATGTGGTGTATACATACAATGGAATAGTACTCAGCCATAGAAAAGAAAAAATCATCCCATTTGCAACATCATGGATGGAGCTTGAGGGTATTACGTTAAGTGAAATAAGCCAGACAGAGAAAGACAAACACCACATGATTTCACTCATATGTGGAAGATAAACACATGCACAAAGAGAACAGATTAGTGGTTACCAGAGGGAAAGGGGTTTGAGTGTGGGTGAAAGGGGTAAAGGGGCACATATATATGGTGATGGATAAAAATTGACTCTTGGTGGTGAGCATGATGCAATCTATACAGAAACTGATAAATAATAATGTACACCTGAAATTTCGCAATGTTATAAACCGTTATGACCTCAATAAAATAGTAATAATAATAAAACATATATCCACACAAAAACTTGTACACAAATGTTTTGGTAGCATTATTTATAATAGCCAAAACATGAAAACAACTCAGATGAAATGGGAAACAATGCAAATCAGCTGATGAATAGATAAACAAAATATGACTTATCCATACAATGAAATATTATCCAGCTCTAAAAAGGAATGAAGTACTGACACAGACTACAACAGGGATGAAACTTGAAACCGTTATGCTAAGAAAGAAGCCAGTCACAAAAGACCACATGTTATATAATTTCATTTATATGAAATGTCCAAACAAGAAAACCAATAGAGACAGAAAGTAGATTAGTGGTTGCTCAGTGCTGGTGTAAATGAAGGACTGCAGGCAGTGATAGCTAAAGAGCTCAGGCTTTCTTTTTCAGATGATGAAAATGTTCTAAAATTGACTGTGGTGATTGTTGCATATATACGTAAATATACCAAAACCATTGCATTACACACTTTAAACAGGTGAATTGTATGGTGTGTGAATTATGTGTCAGTAAAAATATTACAAAAGTAGTTAGTATAACACATGGCAGTTCTGAGCTAAGAAGAAAGCAGGGGCTTTGAAGTCCAACAGTTTGTGTTAATCTAAGTCCTCCAAAAAGCAGGTACCAGATGGGATTAAATTTGCAAGAATTTTATTAGGGGAAACACCTGTGTGAGTTAAAATAGGGAGACAGATAGGAAAGGCTGAGAGAGCTGTCTTGTCATGATGCAAGTCTCACACCAAGTGAAGGAGGAGAGGAGGGAAGGTTTGGAAGAAGCATCCTAGACTGCCATGCCCCTTAAGAAAGGTTTGGCAAAGCTGCCAGGGTTTGGCAAGGCTCCAGCCAAAATTTGCCATCAGAGTAGTTTTGTGTCAACCAGAAATGGATCTGGATCTTTGCTACACTTTGTCATCCGATGGGAGATGTCCATGGGAAGCATGTCCTCCATGCAAATATATCGATGGATTTCAGACTGCAGCTGAAACCTCTGGTCAGTCACGCTCCCTGTAGTTGGATATCTACCACCACATCCTCATGGCCACCACTCACACTAAGGTTCAAATCCCAGTTCAACGACTTACTAACTATGTGACCTTGCACAAGCTCCTCTCTCTGAGTCATAATTTCCTTCTCTGTAAGAGGGGGATAACAGTAGTGCCTACCGCGTAGCGTTGATATGAGGATAAGACAATGTGTATAAACTGCCTAGCACACAGTAAGCACTCAACAAGTAGTAGCTACTACTAGCATTGTATTTACTACTACTATGACTATTTCTTCCTAGATTTTATGAACTTCCATTAAAAACAGTGGTTATCATTGTCTATATATAATGAGTATTCTGTTTACTTAACATCATATTGTAAATCTTTTTCCACGTTATCATTTGCTCTCCCTAAATATTTTAAAGGCTGCGTTATATGCTATAGAGTGTACATATCCTAGTTTACTTAACCATTCTCCTAATCATTAGGCCTTTTCAAAAATTTTTTTGCTATTTTAAAAAATTTAGTGGTGGACATTTTTATATAGAAAAAATTTTCCCCTGTGTTTGAGATACTTCCTCAGGGAAAACTAGATTAAAGAGTGTGAATATTTTTTGTTGTTGTTGTTGGCATATTACTCCTTTACTAGAAATTGTAAAAATATGGAACGCTTCACAAATTTGTATGTCATCCTTGCACAGGGGCCATGCTAATCTTCTCTGTATGGTTCCAATTTTAGTATATGTTTAGTATATGGAACTCTGTATAGTTCCATATTTTAGTATCTCATGCCGAAGCGAGCATGAGAGTGTGAACATTTTTTTGCTAGGAAAGATTGGCCCTGAGCTAGCATCTGTTGCCAGTCTTCCTCTTTTTTTTTTTCTCCTCCCCAAAGCCCCAGTATGTAGTTGTAAGTCACTGTAGTTCTTCTGTGTGAGCTGCCACCACAGCATGGCTACTGACAGAGGAGTGGTGTGATTCCACGTCTGGGAGCCAAACCCAGGCCACTGAAGCAGAGCTCACTGAAGTTTAACCACTAGGTCATCAGGACTGGCCAAGAGTGTCAACACTTTTAATGCTCCTGATCCATGTTGCCAAATTTTCTCTCCAGAGAGGTGGGGCCAGTTTACATTCCAACCAGCAGCATATGAGAGTACTCACTGCTCCCTTACCCTGCCTTGGGTATCATTTTTATATTTTTAAATATTTGCTAACTGGAAAGTCAAAATGACATCTAATTTATTTGTTCTCTGTTACTCACAAGGATGGACCATTCTCTAAATGTTTTTGTACAGGTAATATTATATACAAAAGTAATTATTTTGTGACTTGTCCTTGCATGGTAAACTATTAAGATCTTAATTTTTTTAATTAATGCATACAATTTGCTTAATAATAATTGCCTGACACTTCCCATTATTTTCCCTTTCGAGGTTTTTTTTTTTAATGTATAGGAGTCTATTGTTAGTCAAATCTATTTATGTTTCTTTTGTAATTTCTTCTGTCTCTTTTAAGCTTAGAAAGCCCATCCTCCTATAGAAAGCAAACCTTTCTTTACAGATAGTTCAAAGTGAAACCACAGCCCAGCTGCTCAGATAGTTTAAAAAAATTGTGAATGAGCGGAGCCCAATCTAATGACTCCCTCCTACAAGGCCATCTCAGAAACGAAGTTTTCTTCCTCTTTTTGTGTTCCAGCACCCAGGATATCCGCTATTAACCATCCAGGAAGGATCCTTCTTGTGCAAAGGTGCTGCCCAGGTCCTCCAGAGCTACAATGGAGGAGGAAGCTGGGGGGGCGCCGGCGCTGCACAGGTCTACTGCCTCCAAGAACTTCCACTTTTATCACATGGATCTGTATGACTCTGAAGACAGACTGCATATCTTCCCAGAAGAAACCACTCGGATGAGAAGAGAAGTAGTCCAAGCTGAAATGACCAGTGAGCCAAGAGGGGCAGTGAAAGGTAAGCCTCAAAGAGAACTTGAAGAGGAAGTGGATGAACTTGTCCATTTATATGGACTTGAAGTTGATCACGAATTAGGGGATGAGTTTGTTGATGAAAACATGCCCAGAATAGAGGTTTCAGAATATCCTCCTTATGAGATGATGAGGAGAGAACCAGCCGGGGAGCAGAGAGACTGGAGACTTAGTGGAGAGGCAGCTGAGGCAGAGGACCCAGGCTTCGGAAGGTGGGGCTCGGCAGGCCAGTGCCAGGACTTGCGGGAAGCCTATAGGTACACACATGGCCGTGCCAGTGAGGAGTATGAATGCTACGTCATCCCAGAGGAGGAGGATGAGGAAGAAGCTGCTGACGTCTTCTGCATCACTTGCAAAACTCCAGTAAGAGCTTTGGAGAAGGTTTTTGATGAACACAAAGAGCATGAGGTGACCCCACTCAATAAAGCACTGGAAATCGCCAAGGTAAATAGGTCTCCTTGGTTCTTCTTTCTCTGGATATTGCATTTATATCTCAAATGTGCAGGCAGGGAATAAATCTAAAATGCCTTCTACAAAAGAGAGAGAGAAAAGATGTACCATTAACATCTTCTTGTGATCCTCTGTTGGATAGGATGAAATTCACAAAAATATGTACAAATTGGAAAAGCAGATTATCGAGATGGAAAATTTTGCAAGTCACTTAGAGGAGGTTTTCATCACTGTGGAGGTAAGAGCACACTTGATGAGCCCACCAGACACACGTGGCTTCCATTAGTGGCTGGGTCAGCAGCTGTGTCTGATATGATTTGGAGAACCTGCTTTCTTAGAATGGGTGGCGTCACTACTGCCCCTCTCCCCTCACTCCTTCCCCTGCCCTCCCATGGCACCTTGGGCATATGCCTCAGGGCACCCACCACCTGTCAGCAATCCCTACTCAACTAGAAGCTCTCCGTGGGAGACTGTGTCTTCTGTGTCTATATATCCCCAGTCCTACTACAAGGTAGGACTCTTTCACGCGTCAGCCTTGACAAGGCATTGCAAAACACCTATTCTGTCATTAATAAGTGTGCTTTTCCTCAGCTGTTATCTATTTCTCACAAGATTAGTAAGTTTCTGTGCCTGCCACCAAACATGTCACAGTCCCCTGGGTGGACCTAATAGGTATGTAGTATACCGCTGTGATGCCAGCACTCAACCTGAACCTCCAGATGAGGTATACCGAGACTGAGGACCAGGGGACCGTCTGTCTCCTCTCTCTTCATGTGGATGCTCTAATCCTATTCATGCAGCCTCAGACTGTATCAACAGGAGCAGTCCATATGAATTAACTAAGCCCCAGGCCCCTTTCCCGTGAAGCCTCCAATCTGAAAAGGGAGGAGAGCTATTGCACTAATCCCCTATGGAAGGCACAGAGAAGGGACAAGCCCTTCCCCTTCCAAGCTTAGGGTAGTGCTAGGAGGGGTCAGTGTGCAACAGCCAGGACAAAACTCCCTACACTCTGTACTGCCAGCTCACTCTCAGATCAAAGTGTCTTCACCTCAGCGAGGACTCTGAGATCTTCCTTTTACACTCAACTCAGGGAAGTTGTCTACGGCCTTTCCCTCTCTTCCACCATTCTAAGCAAATCTTACGCACATAGTAGGCGCTCAGTAAATACTCCCTGAGTGATTGATAAGAGCCCCTTCTTTGGAAAGTCCCTGTTATGGGTGAGGATGACATCAGTCAGAACCCGCAGAGCTCTCCTGGGCTTCCAATCTAAGGAACAGGGACCAGGAATCCATATGCTCTGACTAATATTTCTCATCCATTGTGCTCCAGGATTATGTACGGTCTCAACCCTCCCTCTGTCTTCCTGACTTTTCTCATCTATTAGGCAGCACCATCTGGCCACAACCCTTATTCCCCTTCCCCTTCATCTTTCTCTTAGTTGATATGAGAAAGCAGTTGATATCTCTCAGCAGATATGAGGATCTGCGTGATCCTGGTGTTTGTATAATCCAAGCATTGAGGGGTGGAGGTGAGTGTCATGAGATGTTGAGAGCTCAGGAGGGAAAGATAGGTGGGAATCGCCCAGAGCAAACATCTTCATATTAAGGTCCAAGGTTCCAGTGACAGGCTGACTCATTCATCACTGATAATCTCCCTGGTTGGTTGTCATGGTGATGAAAGGTGGCTAAAAATGGAGTGAGAGGAGGACGATTGCAAAATGCTGCCAGGAGAGAAAGCAGTGCTTTTTGTTAAGATTATCCCTGAGGTTCTAGCTGGAGACTCCTGGGTCCTAGCTCCCCCAGTGTCCATCACAGCATCCTGGCAAGAGATAAGACTACGTGGAGGGACTAAAATAGCTACAATATAGATACATTTTCATGCCCCAAATGACTCTGTTGTTGACACACCAGATGCACTGAAATGATCACTGAGGGGAACTGTCTTGCAGGAGAATTTTGGAAGACAAGAACAAAACTTTGAGTCACATTACAATGAGATCTTGGAAACACTTGCTCAAAAATATGAAGAAAAAATACAAGCTCTAGGGGAGAAAAAGAAAGAGAAGCTGGAAGCCTTGTATGGACAACTGGTCATCTGTGGAGAAAACCTTGATACCTGTAAAGAACTGATGGAAACAGTAGAGGAGATGTGTCATGAAGAGAAGGTTGATTTCATCAAGGTCAGTAATGAAGTGAAATGAAATATTGAACTGAAATGACAGTTATAGCTGGAGTAGCTTAGGTTGTTCCTTCTTCACCTGGAGGTACTGGAATTGCCTTTTATGGTCAGAAGCCATTTGGTTCAACTCGATATTCACGATGGTGAGGTTGTCACCTCCTCTTTCTGCACAGCTTTGCCATGAGTGGCCAAGCAGGCTCATTCACAGCTGACTCCCACCCTCCACCACTGCTCAGGTAACACCTGAGTCTTTGTTCCTCTGTCCTGGTTACCTAGAGATCTGTCCCCTCATCCTGGAACTGTGCAAAAACAGTGCTCTGAGAGTTTTCTGGCCCCCTCAGATGGCCTCCTGGGGCTCTGGGGAGAAGGTTATCCAGGCCAAAAAGTTACCTCCAATTTCCCAGTAACAAACACAGCAATTATAAATCTTACTTCATAAACTCAGACACACACAAAAAAATCCATTTCTTAATTTCCTTGAAATCCAGTTAAATCTGGCTCCAAGTTCCCATGCAGCTGAAATTGCAAACTCAGTCAGAGCTAGAGTCCCCTTTCTTCACAAGGTCCCACAGGAATGTGGGGCAGTTCTGGTGTCCAGGATGTGAGGGAGGGGCCTTCGGCCTCCAGAGCTTCCTGGTTGCCAAATATGGCTGCCACACTGACCAAGCCCATAGTCACCCCTCAAAGCCCAACAGCGCCTCCTTCCTGCCAAGCTTGGGTTGAGGGACCTATGACTGAAGCTGGAAAGCAAGTTGGTGGGCACCATTAGAGCCCTCAATGCTCAGACCTTTTGAACCAGTGGTCCTACAATACCACTGTATCTCAGAGACATAATCCAGAATGTGGAGAAAGTGATATGCATGAAGATGTTCTTCTCACTGTTATTTATGATGGCAAAAATTGGAAAGAACCAAAATGTCCAAAAATAGAGGAACGGGGAAGTAAACAATGGAGTTCCCATTCAATAACTGTTACTCGGTCTTTCAACTTGATGGTCCAAAAGACCATTTGTAACATGAAAGTGCTTACATAATGTTAATGGAAAAAAGCAGTAGTATGGAAGAAAATGCACAGGCATCATAACATTGGTTTTATTAGGGTATGGGATATGGCTAATTTTTTCTTTTTCCTAATTTCTAAGTTTTTAAATATGTTTATATTATTATATAGTTTGAAAAATAAATTTATTTCCAAAATCAATTTAATCTTTTCTCCTCCTTTTTAGGATGCTGTGGCTATGGCTGACAGGTAATACTTTTGTTCTGACATGCATTTTCTTCTTCTGTTTCTTTCACCTCTAGATATCCAAATAGACTCAATTCCATTTGGTTATACGCTCCCAGTTTCAGCTTTTGTGTCTGCCTCTAAGATTAAATAGCACTGGCTGGAATGATGGTGTGGGGTCACAAGGACCCTCTAGTACTGAATCTCAGAATCTTAGGCCTGGAAGGGAGCTTATGATGAGGCCCAGCCAACAAGCTCATGGTCAGATCTCCTCCACAAGCCCCTGTTTCACCAGGAGGAACCAAGATCCAGAGAGTGTCCCCAGCTGTGCCAGGACCCAGACTGTGCACTGCAGTAACCATGCACATTATAGAGTCAGACCGGAGTTCAAATCCTGCTACCCCCATGACCTTGGGCAAGTCTAACCAGTCGAGGACCCACCTTCCTTATCTACAAACAAGGATAGTTTTGTGGGAATTAAATAAGACAATTTACATGTCTGTAAAGCAACATGAACATTGAAGCTTAATAATGTAAGGGTTAAGTGCATGGGTTTTGGCAAAAGACAGATCTAGTTTCAAATTCTAAGTCTGCCACTTACAAACCCTGTGAGTGCCAGGAAGCAGGTGCAAGAAGATCCAGAGCCCCAGTCCATAGTCAGCAGCTTGAGGGCACTTGGCCTTGTGGAGGGGGAGCCCCAGAGAGTCTGTACATCTTGGGACCTGAGTGGCATGGACGTGGGAGCTTCCAAGTCAGCACCTGAGGGGTCTGTCAGAGGCTGTGGATCTGGAGCTTGTTGGCCTATGACCCCCCACCCTCACTCTCTGACATGACCCCACCCCACCTCCTCCCCTCGAATGCACACACCAATCCCGCCCATCCCCACTGGTGACCTCCTAGGTCAGTCACTGAAGCAGATGGCCCAAGGCAGCCAGCAACATGTTAAAATAAAGAAATAAAAGTTCAGCAAAGAGGCCCTCTTCATTCATTACTCGTGACCCAGCACAATAGATGTACCCTGAGGAGAATGCCCCTCCGTTCTTGATAGTGTGTTTTTTATACCAACAGACTTGGAAAATTCCTGAAAACAAAAACAGACATAGAAATCTCTGCGCAGCATGACTTTGAAGACCAGACCTTGGACTTCTCGGATGTGGAGCAGCTGATGGGCGCCATTAACACCATCCCAGGTGCATAGCTCACCTGAGGGCCTACTTCACAGCGGGTTCCGATTTCCCTGAGCTTCGAGTTAGAAACTTGGATGGCTAAAAACAGCATAAAGATTTAGAAACAAGTATTTTTTCCCTCTAGCTTCATGTTTTTGTCTTTGTGGCTTGTAAAGGTGAGAGCAGAAGCTGACCTCCCCAGGGTAAGCACTTGCCCTCAACTCTTCAGGGTGCCGATATCTGGCCCCAGGTAGCCTTGAAATATTTTCTGTCCGTACCCTGCCCGCCTTCATAAACTCCTGCTCTCTTGCCTACTTTACACCAAACAAGTAGCCCGAATTTTGTTTCCTTAAATGTCATATTTATGTTCCTCCTGGGTGGCTGCTTTTAGCAGAGTGGCTCAGAGATGGGCTTTGGAATCCTCTGGAGCCAGTGAGAATCCCAACTTCACTGCTTCCTAGCTGTGTGACCTTGGACAACTCACCCAACTCTCTGAGCCTTGGTTTTCTCATCTGTAGAGTGTACACAATAATGCCTCACGGGGACACGGTGAGAATTAAATGAGGTAATGTATGTGCAATATATCACATGGCCAGGTAGCTCTTAAAAATATTATCGTGATTCCTTATTTCTGAGAAGTTTACTAGAATTCAGCTTTTTTTAACTGCTCACCTTCCTTTCCTCACCAACACCCACAAACATTGTTAAAATGTTGCATACATCATTTTAGGTTTTTCCTTTGCACAGATTTTTTTTTTATAAAAACGAAACCATTCTGTTTTGTAATCTGCTTTTTTAAGCAAAACAATTATGATAAATATTTTCTCAAACTGATAAATTCTTCTAAAACATTTCAAGGGCTACATACCTTAATTTGTTTAATACTCAACTCTTGGATGCTTGGATGTTTCTAGGTTTTTCACCATCATAAATCACACTGCAATGAACACCCTTAATCATGAATCTTAGAGGCCATTCTTAGACCCACGGGGTCAAGGGGAGATTTCACTGAGCTCTGATGTCCCTCGGATGGCCCCTTCCCCCTTTTAGGAGTGGTGCTGCCCAAATAAGCAGGCCTAGTCGTTTGGCAGGAAAAGCACTATCGCCCAAGCCAGTGCTCAAGAAGCACCGACATTTTTCTTCACCTTCCTGTGTCCGGGTCCCATGCAGACCGCCACCCTGCTGCTTGCATTCGGAGCCTCCTGAGAGGCTTAACTGCTCCCAGGGCCATCCCTCCTCTGCCTGCATCTCCTGGTGGGGCTCTTCTTCACAGGGTATAGAAGTGCATCTTCTGTGCATCCTGGACTTGGTCATTTGGGGATGGAGGTTCTTTCTCTCCCTCCTCACCTTTGTCATGTGAGGTCTCACAGCCCCTGACCAGAAATGAAAGGCTGAGTCGTGGCTAAGTAAACTCCTTTAAGTTTAGCTGTGCTCTGACCCGGATTGAGCAATTTCAAAATTTGAAACTAAGGATGTTCTTAAAGGCCTGGGGTGGAGAGAGGTGCTACCATAGGAGAAGAATTATGGAAGAAAAACAAGGAGTGTTTCTCGGTTGTGTATGAGTCTGGGTGGGGGTGAGGGAGGCAGAAGTATTAACCTACAGAGAAGGAAAGAATTAACACAGTAGATGGACTCTAAAGAAGTTGGTTCTGAAAACCACAATTTGGCCAAACCCCATTTTCACTCATCGTAATGAAGGACACGGGTGTTGGAGCATCCCCCAGAAAAGCAGAGCGTCCCTGTTGAAGCCTTCCTTCACTCCCTTGTTCCTTCCCGGGCTGCGGGCAGCAGTGCTATGGTCCTAGCTGTCCTGCCTCTTTGGATGGCGTGGAAGGGTCAGAGCCCGCGTACCCGGGGCAGGACTTGCAAACCATACCCCAGCCTGAGTCCCTGTCACCGACCCCTCCTCCCAAGCTCATGTGCATTTGTCAGAGCAGAAATGGACATACTGGTTGTTGCTTGCAGGCTCATGGTTGGGAGGTTTGGCCTTCCTATCCTTGTCCACTCCAGACTGCCTCTTCCTTTTCCAAAGGTCACAGCTGCACTGGGGCATCAGTGGTCCTGTAAAATGTCCCATCCACACCTCTACTTAAGGCTCCTCACTTGTCTTTGTTTTTCTCCTTTTTCCTTTTCAGCTCCTTCTGCTCCAGTGATAAACCCGCAGGCTCCCAACTCAGCCACGGGTTCCTCTGTCCGGGTGTGCTGGAGCTTGTACTCCGATGACACAGTGGAGAGCTATCAGCTGTCCTACCGGCCAGTGCAGGACGGCTCTCCTGGGAAGGACCAAGCAGGTGAGGCTCTGCCAGGAGCATAACCCTGCTCTGGAACGGTGAAGGCCCGTCGGAGGCCAGGGCCCTGCCTTCTTGGCAGTTGGGAAGGTGGAGCTGGGAAGAATCTGCATACCCCGCTCCGGGGAACTGTCACAATCTGGGAACTACCCAGAGCATGGGTTGCAGGCAGGTGAGCATGGCAGAAAGGGCTAGAAAGGCAAGTTGGGGGCCTGACTGGGGAAGACCACAAGGCCAGGGTAAGGTGTCTGGAGTGTATCTACAGCAGTGGGGTCAGATTTGTCCTTGGGATGAGTCTTGGCCGCACTATGTGCAGGAAGGGTGAGGACAGCCCTCCTTGAGGAGGCCCAGCTGGGCTGGCTGGGTTCTAGCAGGTTCTAGTATGTGAGGGCAGGCTGGCTCTCCTCAAAGCAACCTTGTGTTGGGAGAAACTGGAGGGGTTAGTTTGCAGACCCCCAAGAGGAATGAGCGGGGCTCTGCAGCCTGGAAGGACTGCTGCTGATCTGACCCACATTCCCATATTGAACCCAGTTCTGAGAAGGGCCCCCAGCCTCCACTGTAGGCAGCTCTTGACCCATTCTCTCCCCAGGGAAATGGAGCTGGCTGGTGTGGGGTTAGGACTAGGGTAGCTGCCTCCTCACTCACCCACCACCCCTCATAAGAGATAAGCTATTCTCCTGTTGAAAAGGGAGGGTCAGATAGCAGAGGAGCCCCAGCTGAGCATATGAAGGAATCAGGGGGCAGGCCCCGCCTGGCAGGGCCTGTCCTGTGGGCATGTGGTCAGAGTGAGATTGCTGGAAAGAGACTTAGAGATCTCCATTTCATGGATGAGGAAACTGAGACCCACAGAGAGATGAGCTGTCCATGGGGACACCGTGAGTTATGGCAGAACCAGGACAAGAACCAAGTCCGCAGGCTCCCTGCTTAGAGCTCTTCTCACTATACCAGGCCACATGGGTAGAGGGCTCTCAGTGCCGAAGGCAAGGGTGGTTTTCTGCTCAGGGATCAGGAAGGAAAGGGAATTCTTGAGAAAAGAAAGAGTAAGTTTAAGTGATGATGAAAGAGGGCAAAGGTGGTCAGAATAAGGACTAAGGAGGGCATGGAAGGAAAAGGGGAGATTTGAAAAGGGAGGTTGGTGCCCGAGACGTCAGATCTGATTAATCACAGTTTTTGCCGTGAATCAACCCTGCTGGCATCCTCTACAGACATAGAAGAAGACGTGTTGGGGCTGTGTCATGGTCATCTATGACGATCTTTTAAATGGACCACTTTGTTATAAAGGAACTGATATCAGAGGGTGGGTTCATGAGTTATCACTGCCTTTCAAGAGTCTGGGGAGGTTTGGAGGTGTATCAGCTAGCTTTTGCTGTGTAACAGCCCCCCCACACACACACACCTTATTGGCTTAAAATGACATTTATTATTTCTTATAATTCTCTGAGTTGGCTGGTAGTTCTTCTGGTCTGGGCCAGCTTGGGTAGGGCTGGATGGCCTAGGACGGCCTTGCTTATATATCTGGGGCCTCTGCTGCGAGGGCTGGAGCCTCTGTCCACGTGGTCTCATCCTCCAGGAGGCTGACTCAGGCTTGTTCCCATGGAAGTGCAAGCATTCCCAGCAGCAGGAGGACAAGCCCCTGTGCACCAGCACTTCCCAAGCGTCTGCTTGCATCATGTTTGCTATTGTCCCGTTGGCCAAAGCAAGTGATATGGCTAAGCCCAGCTTCAAGGGATGGCAAGAAAGACAGCACCCCTCAATGGAAGGACCAGCAAAGGCACACTGCAGAGGGTGTGCATACAGGGATGGGAGGAATTTGTGGCCAGTTTTGTAATCTACTACAGGGGGATCAGCACAATGAATTTGGAGCTACTTGGCCTACTTTAGGTTTGAATTTTTGCTTTTTTTCCCCCCAGAGTTTATAATGACCGTCAAAGAAACATACTGCTCAGTGACAAACCTTGTGCCAAATACCCAGTATGAATTTTGGGTCACAGCTCAGAACAGGACTGGCCTCAGCCCTGCCAGTGAGCGTGCGGTGTACATGACAGGTAACGGGGCCACTTGTTTCTGTAGCAGGACCTTCATGCAAGGGAACACAGGAATCACGGCTTTTTGTTGTTGTTGTTAGGAAGATCAGCCCTGACCTAACATCCGTGCTAATCCTCCTCTTTTTGCTGCGGAAGACTGGCTCTGAGCTAACATCTATTGCCAATCCTCCTCCTTTTTTTCCCCAAAGCCCCAGTAGATAGTTGTATGTCATAGTTGCATATCCTTCTGGTTGCTGTATGTGGGACGCCGCCTCAGCATGGCCAGAGAAGCGGTGTGTTGGTGCGTGCCTGGGATCCGAACCCGGGCCACCAATAGCAGAGCGTGCACTTAACCGGTAAGCCACGGGGCCGGCCCTCACGGCTTTCTTGATGTGGTGGGGCTCGTGATTTTATTCGGAAGGGCAGGAATGACTTTGTATTTTTTTTCTTTCATTTAATACACCAAATCTACACACCTGGGATGGCAGGGATGTTTTCTCACAGTTGGTCTCAAAAGATCAAAAAGTATGGTCTCGGCCACAGTACCATTTGAACCTTGCAACTAACCTCCACTCCAGGAACATGTGAAAGGGAGTCCCTGGTGTCTTAATCTGTTCAGGCTGCTATGACATATTACTACAGACTTGGTGGCTTATAAACAACAGAAATTTATTTCTCACAGTTCTGGAGGCTGAGAAGGCCTAGATCAAGGCACGAGCAGATTTGGTGTCCTGTGAAAACCCTTCCTGGTTCATAGACAGCTGTCTTTTTGCTGTATCCTCACATGGAGGGAAGGGGCAAGGGAGCTCTTTGGGTTCTCTTTTATAAGAAACCCCTCTGCCTTCATGACTAATCACCTCCCAAAAACTCCACCTCCAAATACCGTCACATTGGGGAATAGGTTTCAACATAGGAATTTTGGGGGGACACAAATAGTCTATAGCACCTGGTTTGCTTTTGATTGCACTGAGTCTCTTTTGTGGGAGGAGTGGTTGCAATGCTTCCATTCTCTGGACAAAATGGCTGGATGTGAACAGGACGGCTGTTCGTCTCTCCCTCTCCCCTGCATTTAGCACCTTCTCCCCCCATCATAAAAAGCAAAGAGATAAGGAGCTGTGAAGAGGCTGCGCTGATTTGCTGGGAGTGTGGGAACCTGAATCCTGTGGACTCGTACACAGTGGAGCTGAGCCAAGCAGCAACGCCAGAAGCCTCGGGGGTCACCGAGTGAGTCACGAGGGGCATTTGCTGGGCACAAGAGGCCTTGACACCTGACACAGTGATACAGCTTAGGAAATGCGTGGAGTCTGGAGAGAGGGTCAGAATTTGTGACCTTAATTTTAGGTTGCTTAGTTTTCGTAGGAAGTAGCTGGAATGCTATTACTGGAGGTGAGTGATGAGTGAGTAAGTCAGAGAATAAATGGTTGAACCTCAGGTTTGCTTTTTTAGCCCAACTAAGGCTTACCATCATTCATTTGACAAGTCCGGAGGCCCTAGGTGATGCCAGGTCCTGGGCCTGGGCATTGGTGGACTAGACAGACAAATTCCCTGCCCATAGAGCCGACAGTCGAGTGAAGGAGGTAGACAAAAACCAAGAAAACAAACAAATGCATAAAATACACAGTGGTATGCAGGAAAAAGGACTGTAATAAAATTGGGAATGGTGGTGACGGTGGGGACTTACTTTGGATACAGCAGACATCTGAACTGAGATCTGAATGAACGGGAAGGACTGAGCTCTAAGAATAGTGGAGGCAGGGGTGCGCCTGCGGGAAGCAGCTGCCGGGTCCCGGGCAGGAGTGAGCTTGACATACTGGAGGAACTAGAAGACCCACCTGGCTGGAATTTAATGGGGAAGGGGAGAATAGCATGAGACAGAAACAGAAGAGATTAGAGGTCAATGTACAAAGAACACTGTGTCCGTGGTAGAAGGCCACCTGGAAGCTCACGTTCTTCCCCTGGCTGGTGGAGAGCTGGAGGGGTTCATGAGGAGATGAAGGTTGGACTCAACGACCACAAGGGCGTGTAGATCCTATAAGTCTACACCTGTGTACAGTGCAGGAAACATGGAGTACCTCCGGTTTATAACCAGATAGTCCAGGAGCTTCTGGAAGAGGAATCAATCAGCCAGGCAGCCCAGTACCAGCCACCAAGTCCAGGTGTTGTCCTGCTGGGGAGCATAGGATGCACTCACCTGGCTCTGGAGAAACGGAGGAGGGGTAGTTTGGTGTCAACTGTTAGGGAGGCAGATTCTTCTGTACTAAATGCCAGGCTTGGAGCCTGGCCATCTATCCCACCCACCCATCTGTTTCAGGTACAATCTGTGTGTCTGACCTTGCTTATTTACTTCTAGAGATACGCAGGAGCAGGGAAGGAGGATCCAGGTGTTCTGGCCACCTGAATGGTTCAGATTTCCTTTGCAATTTGTGCTGATACTTTAGGAGCATCTGATGACACCTGGGATCAGTCCATAATGATGGGGGTCATCAGAGGGCTGGTCAGTGACCTAGGTGATCTGATCTGGGGTAGTGCCTACTCTCCTAGTACAAATCTAATCATGGCATCCCATTGCTCTGAAAAAAAGGCAAATTCCTTCACAGATTCTGGCCCCTTCCTGCCTTTCCAGTTTATCCCACACTAGCTCCTCCTCCCTGTCTGGCTCCAACCACACTGGTCATATTTTAGTTCCTCCTACTTCCCATGCTCTTTCCTGCCACGGGGCCTTTGCACATGCTTCTTCTTCTATGTAGGAGACTCCTCTATCCACTTTTCATGCTTCAGAGCTCAGCTCAAAAATCACCTCTCCCCCCCTTATACACCTTGTTTTCAACTTGTCATGATTACCATCTTACATTTCTTCCAGTGATGACTTGAGGAATGCCTCTCTTCTCATCTAGACTATAGCTCTATGAGGGCAGGGGCTACATTCTGTTTTCCCCAAGGCTTCCCTATACAGTACCTGGAACCTAAGGTGCTTAGTTAGTGTTTACTGAATGAATATGTAGAAGTGCCCCTCTGGCCTGGAGCTGCAGCGCAGAGGTGACCTGGACATCCTGGCCTCGTCAGGCAAGGGCATCATACCTGTAAACGGGCATCACTCTGAAGGCTTCTCTTGCCCACTGGATGGAAAGGGGGCTGGCAACAGCAGGAATACAGACTGGCAATTATGGGCTTGTATTCCTGTATAGTACAATTTAGATAAATTGGATTATTCCCAGTAGGCAGCTGTTCTCAAAGGGGTCAACAACATTGGGCTTCTGTGGGCCTTTTCAGCTTGAGTCAGGGTCATTTCTTCATAAACACACATGGAGAGCCTGCTATGGGCCCAGCACTGCACTAAGGTAAGTGGTCTTCAGCCCCTGCCCTGGGAGAGGCTATGATCCCACCAGACAGATGGAGACACACCGGATTGGATGGCGTGCTCGCCTCCACTGATGCAGCATTAGACACACGCCAAGCACGGTACTACGGGCTGGGAAAACAGGGTTGGGAGCTTGGAGGGAAAATAGCCATGGACACAAGAAAACGAGGAAAGTGGCCCTGAGGCCACTGGAGGGAGCACCGAAGGGGGGCCAACACTCCGGGCTGTGCTGTGGGTCAGAGGGCAGGGGGACGAGGGTAAGTTGAAAATACCAGCTTCGAAAGGGAGGACTGGTGCTTGGCTGGCCACCCCGGCCCCACCCCATGGTGACTGTGGCTCTGCTTCCTTGCCTAGGTCTGTTGTGGGCATCCCGACCTGCGAGGCCCTGGTGCAGCTGCAGCCCCGGCAGAGATACATGATCTACGTGCGAGCCCTCAACGTGGGGGGCCCCAGTGCAAGGAGCGAGCCTGCTACCGTCCACACCACAGGTCTGTGCCCCCAGCCACTTACACTCTGGGCCCCAAAGTGACCACTCTGTGGCAGACTCAGTGCTGAGATGACTTCATTGGAAAATAGATGTGTTCACAGACATGAACACATGGCAAGTCAGGCCAGGAAGGGGCTCAGGGGTGATTCAAGCCCTGCAGTCCCATGTTACAGATGGGGGACTGAAGGTCCAAGTCATAGAGCAAGCTGGTGGCTGAGCAAGTGTTAGAACTCAAGGTTTTTCTCGACAGCCCTCAGGTGGGCTAGAGGCTTGTCACACTGGACCTGGCTGGCCCAGACACCCCATATCTCCCACAGGCTGAATACCACCCCTGGGACGGGGTCTTGATGAAATTCCCAGCAAGAGCCATTGGCCTTGGCTTATCTCCCTGTTCCCATTATCAGCCCAAGCATCTTCGCACCCACAGGCCCAACTTAGACCTGGCTTCCCAGCCTTCTCCCAGGCCCTGGGAGGGCCTGGGTACCCACATCCCCAAGTCCAGCTCCTTTCCACTTCTCACTTGCCATCGATGTCATCAAATTGTCATATGTCATGTCCAAGTCTTGAGTCAGCAAAGACATCACTAGAAACATTCCATACATCTCCTGCTGTCCCGGTCTTGCTGTGGCTCTGCGTTCTGAGCTTGGCCAAGCTGCACTGAAGCCAGCTGGCTCTTCTCAGACCTCAGGGAGCAAGTGGGCTCAGGCTGGCTGATTGAGTGACGTGCAGGTGAGATGCAGAAGCAGGGAGCCTGGGCCCAGGGCTCGGGGGACAACATTCCCTGGACTGGGATCTTTCACTGAGGGCCACTGTGTGATTTTGTCCTCATTTCTAATGCCAGGAGGACAGGTGCATGATTAGTCCCCACTTATGTTCCTTCCACACAGATGGAAAAACAAGTGAAGTGGCCACCTAAGGTGGTGGGGCTTAGCCCCGGGGCTAGGACGCAGGTTTTTCTTTTATATCATGCTGGGGCCTTCCTTTGGTTGGGCTGGCACTTCTAATTTCCTGTGCTGACTTGGTGTTTTGAAATGTCAAATTCTGGCTGTTTCAATAAAAAGAAGAGAGCAAAAGGTACAGCCAGCTCTTGATTATTCAGTCATCTCTGAATTTGTTCAAATAATTTTTTAAGAGTCTATTTATGAAAAACTTGAACATGAATCAGCAAAAAACATTATATATTCAAAAATAATCCTATTTGGGATTAGAGAGCAGGCAGTAAGGGCCACACATGTCGGTTGCAAGGGAAGAACCTGCCTTGCCCTCACCAGTCAGCTCAGATAGCAAACAAAATTTCCAGCAGCATCAAATTGTGAAAATAATTGTGAACAGCTCGATGGCGATGGCTGAACTAGGGTTTGAGACAATAAGAAGTGACAGAATGGGAACTTAAGAAGAGCTTGGTAAAGAGACAATAATGGAGAATGAGTTACTATGTTCCTAAATAATGGATTTTTTTTTTTTACTAAATAATTTTTTATTAAATCTATTCTGTTCCACTTTTTGAAGAGCTGTGTTTTAACCTGATTTGGGGATGGCTCTAACCTCCCTTCTTCTCCCCCAATGCCCTAAGTAGAAGTTGAACGTTGAATTTTGCAAACCTTTATCACACTGATCATTAAGAATTCCCTCAGTTCCTTTCTCCTTCGGCTGGTAGGTTAGAAATTCTTGTCTGGGGGCCAGCCCGGTGGCGCAAGCGGTTAAGTGCACGCGCTCCGCTGCGGCGGCCCGGGGTTCGCCGGTTCGGATCCCGGGCGCGCACCGATGCATCACTTGGCAGGCCATGCTGTGACGGCGTCCCATATAAAGTGGAGGAAGATGGGCACAGATGTTAGCCCAGGGCCAGTCTTCCTCAGCAAAAAAAGAGGAGGACTGGCAGATGTTAGCACAGGGCTGATCTTCCTCACACACGCACACAAAATTTTTTAAATATAAAAAACAAAAAGAAAAGAAGTTCTTGTCCGTGTGTAGGCATTTACAGCCTCGCAGGTAAGAGCACAGCATCTGGAATCAAGTCTGCATTCTATCATTTGCTAAGGGTCACTGTGAGGACCAGATGAGGTAAGACTTGCACCCTGCTTAGCTTAGTACCCAACACACAGTAACAGCCCAGTCCATGTTAATCGCCCTATTACCGTGAGGGTTATCATTACGGAAGGTCCAGGCCTGCGGGTATCACCCGGAAGCTAAGCCAGCAGGTGCAGTAAGCCCTCTGCCCACGGGGTCAGTGTTGAGAAGGCAGTGAAGAGATCAGCTGGGGACCTTGGTGTGTTCCCTCCCCTCACAGGCAGCTACTTCCACCTCAACAAGCACACCTGTCACCCCTGGCTGACCATTTCTGAGGATGGGCTCACAGTTGTACGAAGCGAAAAGAAAACCTCTGCAGGGGAGCCGTTCCCCAGCAACACCCGGTTTACCAGGTACCTTATCAACCGCTCACTGGAACATTCTGTGAACCTCCCTAATAACACTGTTATTCAGGTAAAACTGGATTATGACAAATGGATGCAGCCTTGAAGGGGGAAAGAAAACCCAGAAATGAGTGAGGGGATAGGGGCCTGGTAGGGAGGGGAGGACAGGAGAAGAGGGCTGGCTGGTGCAGACAGAAGAGACACGTTGTGGCCTCCGAGTCCTGGGCTGCCAGAGCTGGAGAGTCAGGTCAGGAGGCGATGGGCATGAGGGTCACGCTGTCAGGCAATAGGAGAACAGAAACAAGGAGCCCAGTGCTCTTTCTCCCACACTGTGAAACCTTCCTGACGAGGATCTGGCGATGGAGTGAGCCTAGGCCGGAGCTGGTGGGGAAAATGGTGATCGTGCTAGTGCGTGACCCAAGGGAGGGGTGGTCACCAAAGATGCACGCTGTCTAGATCTGTGGCTATTTCCAGAGCTTAGTACCCAATGCTGAAGTGATTTACTTATACCTTACTTCCTTCCAAATGCTTAAAGAAGGATTAAAATACGAGGCAAATATACTCTACTGAAACAGAGAAATTAAAGCAATGAAGGAAAAAGAACACAGATAGGCAACAGCTACTTCTCTTCCTAAGATTAAACACTAAACGTGGCTCTCAGCTTCCTGGTAGTCAGGGCAAAAAGAGGTCTTGGTAGTTTGATTTAGAGTCAGGAGGATCTTCCAAGGAAGAAAAGGGGCTCTCCTGTGGGGGCCGGAAATCCACGGATGAAAACTGTATCTAGGACCCTCCCTGCCTGGGTCCTCGCCTATCCCCACAGCTGGCTCTTCTTCCGACGCTGGCTCCCTGCTGGCCTTTTTTACCGCTATGTGTTAAGCACCTACTGTATGTAAGCGTTGGCGTGAAATAGCAGAACTTCACAGGGTACAGTGGAAACAACTTTATCCTTTCTCACCTCTGCCCATTCAACCCAAGGTTGGGGGCATGAAGAGGAATAAGAAGCAATAAAGGTCTTACTTGTGTTAAAAAACAAAATTCAGCTGAGTACATTTTAAATATTTTTGGCTTTATTCAATGATTCAGGAATTGGGCAGCATTCAATCTAGCAGACAGCAAGGAGCTCTGAGGAGCTGCACAAAATGAAAGACATTTATAGGCAGAAGGGAGCAGGAATAAGGAGGTTATAGTAGGCAAAAAAGTGGGTTGGTTATGGCAAGGTTCCTTTCCTTCACGGGACAGCAGGAATCAGGCAGATCACCTAACTAGTGCTGGTCAGGCAATTCCTGATTAACCAGTTTAAGATTCCATTTCTGGGAGAGCCGAAACTATAAGTTGTCTCGGTTTGGTGAAGTCCTTTAGCATAAAGGGACTCCATCTTGAGCCTGTTGTCTTGTTTTTAACATTGGCTGTACCAATGCGATGTTTAAAGCTGACTCTCCCTCATGGGCACTTCCGTGGGCTCCTCAGCAATTCCCCAGGTAGGCCCCTCTGATGGCAGTTCTCTCCCTCTTGTGGCCCCTCACACCCATCAACCTCCAACACTACAACTCCAGGCTCTTTCTGCCGAGGTCTCCTCAACCCTTGCAGGAAGCTCTCTTGGACAGGATCCCCTCAAAAACCAGACAGAGACAGCCCTCCTATGGTGGGTTCCATTCACCTGGGCCTCTGAAAACACACACCTTTGACCAGGCCACTGCTGCTTCACTCTGTGTGAACTGTGAAAAAGCTCCCTGGGCAGACATAGCCTCAAGCACAGGATCCATAATGGGAAGAGGTGGAGGATGAGGCAGAAAAGATAGATAAGGTCCAGTGCAAAGAAAAAGTCTGTATTTTATCCTTTAGGTGGTGGGAATTACTGGAGAATTAAAGTAGGGGAATGATCTGATCAGATTTATGTTTCAAAAAGTTCACACTACGTGGTGAAGTATGAGCTGGGGAAGGAGCAGGAGAGGCAGATGGGGAACAAGGAGACCAGGGAGGAGGCTGTGGAGGCCTTGACTAAATCAGCAGAAGGGTGGACAAGAGGAGCCAGTGGATTCAACAGATACTTAGCACATACAACCAACGAGGAGAGTGGCCAACTGGCTAAGGGGCAAGTGGAGGAGGGACAAGTCAGGGACTGTAATATCAGTGCCCTATTTACAGAGTAGTCATCAGGTGCTGCACACTTCCCATGGCTTTACATGGATTATCTCACTGAATCATTACAACGGCCTGTGAGGGCCATACTATTATCAGTCCCATTTGACAGATGAGAAGACTGTGGCACAGAGAAGTTAAGCAATTTGCCCAACGGCACGCTGCTATTAAGAGTTGGGAGTCAGAATTCAACTAGAAGCTGACCTTGTAACCACTACATTATTCTTTAGTTTTCTATCTTGGGTTACTGTGTAATGAGTCTATTAAGCAAAATGCAGAAAACATGCGAGGTATATACCCCTCCCCACCACATCCAAAACACAAACTTTTGTAGGTGGGAGGAGTAGTAATATGATAATTTCAGTTTGGGACATCCTGAGTTAGAAACAACAGGTGGGTGGAAATGTGGGTCTGGAGCCTGGAACAGACATGGCTTCATTTTATAGACGAGGAGTTAAATAAGGTACACTCTCCTTCCCAAAGCTTTTCGAGGGTGTTTAGAACGTGGCGTTCTGAGAGTAGAGATAGTGTGTTTAATGACAGCTGAATAAATCTGCCTAGGGATTTGGAGAGCTACATAAAGTTGGGTAATGTAGGAGGCTCCTGCAGGAGGTAGAATATCTACCTTGGGGACACTGATGTGATCTGATCTCCAGTGAAAACCTTCCCCGGTAGAGTGCTTTATTGTTGTAGAACAAAACATAACTGTGACCTATGTAAGTGTAGTTGTTTCCAGTGAAATCTTGGCGATAGATCTTAACATCTTGTGAGGAATGGGCTATTTTGTTCTTCTTCGGTCTGCCTCTGAAATCAGAATCCTTGCCTCCTACCTGTAGCTATCTCTAACAGAAGCATCACCTCAGAGACCGTCCATGCTAGTGTTGTAGTATAAGTGAGTGCTGGCCTGTCCTGAACTTCAAGCACGTGGTTGCCTTGACTATGCTGTGTTCTGTGAGATTTCAATCCCTTTCCTTTTTTTGAATAAGTGAACCAAACCTTTTTGTTACTTTAAAAGCCCAATCATTTAAAAAGGCAAACAGACTTTTCTATTGGTTTGTCTCCTCCTCGCCAGCAGTGTAATAACCGTCTTCTCGTCTCCGCATCAGTGAGGAGAGCTCTGAGCGCTCAGGCTGTGCTGCTTTACAAGTGAGGTGTTCAGCACACCTGCCTCCACATTCACAGACCACCTACTGACTGCCCCGGCAGTCGGCCTTGCTCACTCGCACAGCCAGGCTTCGGTCACCCAAGTCACACACGCTTCCACTTTCTAAAACCAGGTGTGTTGCTGTCATGGGAAATCTAATTCCAGTCCGAGGGCGCCATTACTGGGAGGTAGAGGTGGACGAGTGTTTGGACTACACGGTGGGCGTGGCCTTTGAAGATGTCCCTAAACAGAAGGACCTGGGAGCAGACTGCTTCTCCTGGTGCCTGAGGCACACATTTGCGTCATCAAGGTAAAGTAAAATCTGGATACCCAAGACTAAGGTTTGCTTTTGAAAGAAGAGAACGAAGGGTTTTCACCAGCAATAATTAAGGCCCATGTGTTTTATAAAATATTCTAAGATATCTCCCTAAAGTCCAGATAAAAAGAGAAAGAGCAGCTTTGGGTACTTTTCTTTCAGACAGAAATAGCTAAATTCATGGAGAACTTGTTATGTGCTAAGCACGTTCTACACTCTTACATGTATTATCTTGTTTACTGCTCACCATCATATTCTCCCATTTTATTTATTTATTTATTTATTTTTTTTTTATTTTATTGTTTTTCCCCCAAAGCCCCAGTACATAGTTGTATGTCATAGTTGCACATCCTTCCGGTTGCTGTATGTGGGACGCGGCCTCAACATGGCTGGACAAGCGGTGCGTCAGTGCGCGCCCAAGATCCAAACCCGGGCCGCCAACAGCAGAGCGCGTGCACTTAACCGCTAAGCCACAGGGCCGGCCCTATATTCTCCCATTTTAAAAACAAGAAAGCTACAATCCACCCAACACGATTCAGATCCAGGCAGTCTGGCTCCAAAGACAGCAGTCTTAACCACTAAGTGATTGGTTTTTCATTTATGTTCAACTTCACCGTTATTAAATGGATACAGTTTGATTTGAAGTCCCAATTCCATCTCTTTAAGTTAAGTGTGGGCAGAGGCTTAATGGTTACAGCTAATTCTGGTTTGCTTCTGCTGTTGAGCACTCTGTCCTCTACACTGGAGCAGTTCTATAAAGCTGGGAAAATCCCACGAGGGCCAGGCCAATGGCCATTTTCAGACTTAGAAAGCCATGGCTACAACCTCCCTTCATCTCAAAAACTGCACAAAAAGTTTACCATACCATTTTCCCAGCACCCCTTGTACTATGGGGCCTCTGACCCTCGTTTGCTGAACCCTATTAATGTTTCATCCGATGTTCTGTGCCCATGAGCCTCCATCATGGTTAAACAGTATCTGTCATGCCCAACCATAAGTGGGAAGACCAACTTTCTGCCTGTGAGATATTTAGACTATAAGGGACTCTACTAAAACTCAGACCCAATTTGGGGAATGCAAGAAATACTATGCACTGAGCCAAATATTGTATTTGGAGATTCTGCCTGAAGTAAGATTAAAAATCCAAGTCTCCTCTCCTAGAAAGGTAAGAACAAGGCACAGAGAAAAACTAGGGGAACATAAAGGAAGTGTAGGAATCTGCGTGTAGCGGGACAGGTGAGGAGGTTCAAAGACAGAAGAGGAGAGACAACATGAGAGACAAAGAAAAAGGGCGGGCAAAAAGCCAAGCACTAGCAGTCCCATCTTGGAAAGCTGTACAAGAGTTTGTGTGTGTTACCTGTAGAGAATGAGAGTAAGGTATCCTAGCTGACTCATGTTTTTTGGTTCAGTCTTAGACTCTATTGGTGGTGGGAGGGAAAGTAGAAGGAAGGCCTAACAGCTTCTGGTAGCTGCTCAGTTAAGAAACAAAGCTGAGGGGAAGAGGTGAACTGGGATGGAGATAGGCTGGCTTGCTTTGACACACCTGGATCGTATTCTAAGCAGTCATCTCAGCCATCTGGACCAGCATGCTGGCACACACAGCTCTTCAAACATCTGTAGGTAGCAGGGTTAGGAAATTCCCGTGCCTGGCTTTGTTTTCAGCCATATTCATAGCACACAGGAGAAGCAACCTCCTCTCCTGGTGAAAAGATCCCCAGCATGTGAAAGGGTGCTGAACCATGACAGGCCGCGGGATGCCCTGCTCAGTTTCAAAGTTGAAGAACTAGATGCCTTCAGAGTACTTGTGCACTGATTACAAAAACCAAAGGCCCATTTTGTTACATGAAAGATCATTAGGTTCCCTGTTTCAAATGTCTTTATTGCAAGGGATCTACACATCTGAATCTTGAAATCCAAACTTTATTTATTTATTTATTTATTTGTGAGGAAGATCAGCCCTGAGCTAACATCCATGCCAATCTTCCTTTTTGCTGAGGAAGATCGGCTCTAACATCTATTGCCAATCCTCCTCCTTTTTTTTTTTTTTCCCCAAAGCCCCAGTAGATAGCTGTATGTCATAGTTGCACATCCTTATAGTTGCTGTATGTGGGACACGGCCTCAGCATGGCTGGAGAAGCGGTGCATCGATGTGCGCCCGGGATCCGAACCCGGGCCGCCAGTAGCGGAGTGCGCACACTTAACCGCTAAGCCACGGGGCCGGCCCCCAAACTTTTTAAATGTACTATTTCTATACATACACACATTTCTATACATATTTTGATGTAATATGAGTTTATGATACTGTATGTAAGTTTCTTAGGTTAATAAGTTGCTCAGAAAGAGTTTAAAAATATAAGTTTCTTAGGACAAATTTTAGAGAAAAGATATCGAGTACAGTTTTAGAAATGGCCTGTTACTTTGGTAGTCATTTAATAAAAGGAAATAATACAATCATAGGAATATTTGAATAAAATGAATATGAAATATTCTGTTAATAGCCCATGTACAGAATTTCTGAAGCTTTGTTAATTTAATCTTCAGGCATAAGTATGAATTTCTACACAACAAGACGACTCCAGATATAAGAATAACAGTTTTCCCAAGGAAGCTTGGCATTCTATTAGACTATGAAAATTCAAAATTGTCATTTTTCAATGTGGACATTTCTCAGCATCTATACACATTTGGTTGTCAGTTTCGCCAATTTGTGCATCCCTGTTTTTCTCTGGAAAAGCCCGGATGTCTAAAGATACATAATGGAGTTTCAATGCCAAAGCACGTCACTTTCTATTAGACCTATCTGATGGCCAGCTTCCTGTCTCTCTTCTGCGTCTACGCCTCTCCCAGCCACTCACACCTCAGCTGGCTGAACTCGGCATTCAAGACCACGTGTCCAGCACAATTTGTGGCTCATGTTATTATCTGGCAGACTGGTGTGCTGGCACTGATTTCACCTGACCTGGATTGTAGTCCTGTGCACTGCCACCTGTGTGATGATAGGTTAGTCATTACCAGGCCTAGCTGTAAAATGAGGGCTCAGACTAAATGAACTCAAAGGTCTTTCAAGTTATCAAATTATATTGGTCTATTTGTGTACATGCAAGGTATCTGAGTTTCCAAGGCTTTCAGAGCTTGGGGGATGGGGAGGGAAGAGATACAACAGTGTTAGTGGCTCCAGCAGCCCCAGCACACTCGTGACATTTCAGCCAAGAACAGACTTGAGAAGGCAAGAGTCTATCCACAAAGAGAAGCACGGAAGCCCTGTGCCCTTCTCCTCTCCTGTTTTCCCAGTAGTCAGCGGCACTGTGATGAGTTTCTCCCACTGTACACCCTTTGCAACAACCTGTTCCTCTCCCTCATAGTACTCACCCCACTCTAATTTTGAAATGGCCTTTATAAGGCCTAATTCCATGAAGGCAGGACAGTGTCTGTCTTGTTCATCAGTTCCCAAGGGCTAACACATAACAGGTGTACACCAAATATCTGCTGAATAAACGAGTTTCTTCTTCATCCAACCACTGCTCTTCAGCCTCTCACTGCTCTCCATGTGAGGGACGGCAGGGCTCTTTCAAAATGAAAACAAAGGACCTATGGCCAGGAGACGGAAAATACCTGGAGGGGAGGTAGCACCAAGGAACAGAAGGCATCTGTGGCTTGATGACAAGATTGGGAAAAATGGAACACTACAATTACATGCTTCTTCGTGTCACACAGCAGCCTACACATAAATGTGGTGTTTTCACTGCTTGTGTGGGTTAAGGGATCAGGGGATAGATTTGGAGAAAACAGAAAACATTAGTTGCAACTATTCTAGGAACTGTCCTGTAATGTAAAGAGAACCAGATCTGAAATCAGAAGACCTAGGTTTGATTGCTACTTTGTAGCTACTTTGCCTTACGACCCTAGAAATGTCACATCATCTTCCAGAGCTGTTTCCCTTTAAACAGAGAAAAATAATACTTCTCTTATAGGATTGGGAGATTTAATGACAAACATGAGAACGCCTAACAGTATATGACATATAGCAAATGCACAATTTTTTAAAAGAAAACATCAGCCCAGCAAGGTGCAAAGCTGAGCACTGGTGGGAGAGGTAGTCTCCAGGCAGCAGCTTTTGGGCAGCCTGCCTCACTGCTCTCATGCCCTTTTGTGACCTCAATGCCCAGCCCCACCAGCCGCATTCCTGGTTGTCCAGTTCGTTTCTAGTTGCCACTTAAAGCTCTGCACACAAAGCATTTTCAAGCTTCCGAGTCAAGATGCAGAGTAAATGACTCCACTTGTGAAGCAATTCTCAGAGACAATTTAGTATTGTGCCCCATGGACGCCCCTAAACAGCTTGCCCCTCATCTTATCACTTAAGGTTTTGTGTTAACTGAAAAACCGTTCACTTTAAAACTTGCATGTTTTCCAGCACACTCCCAGTCTGACACAACACCTCTTATCTCCTCTCAAAACTGCCTACTGCTATAAACAGAAGTTCAGATTCCTGCATTAATGACTCACCTTCACAATCTTACAGCTCGTTGCGTGCACGCACGCGCACCTGACCTGCCAAGCTGGATCACTACCCTGAAATGAGGAAGGTACAACCAACGTAAGCACAGAAACAATTCAAGTCATAAACAATTAAAATATACATATGTGTATATTCAAAAATGTTCTCAGCTACTGAAATAGAAACTACCAAGTAGGAAGTAGGACATCACAGATAAGGCAAGTTTGAATTCAGGGTTCTAACAGGCTTTATGGAGTACCTCACATGAATATGAACATGGATAAAATGGGTAAAAACTCGGCACCTATAAGGTTTTAATAAAATTTTATTTGACCACGAAAAAACTGTCTAGAATTAGCTTTGACATTTAAAATCCACTTAATTTAAACAAGGTAGATGCATCACAATTATTCAGCATCAAGAACCTTTGTTTAAACATGTTTCTCATCTTTTAGAAGAAAAAATAAGTCTAGAACAGAAGCAAAACAAAACTTTGTTTTTTTGGTAAAATATTGCAATTCCTTAAAATACCATGAACACTCTGCTAAAACTAAATTTCAACAAGGGGCAGGATTTACCTCAAGGCCATGTTTCCCTGCAACCTGCTGATAAATCTGTTAAAAAACAAAACAGAAAAAGATTTTTAACAAGTCAGACCATTGTAGCCACAATTCCTGATAATGGGTAGTTAAAACAAAAGATACCAAAATCTGTTCCTTTCTCAGCTTTACCTATATTACTTTACAACTCCTGAGCAAGTTATTAACATAAGCTTTGGCTTCCCCACCTTAACAAAGGGGAAAGAGAATAGGTAAAACCACCACAGTCTTGGTGTAAACTAACATGGGTTTATAATTTTATTTATTTATTTATTTTCCCCCAAAGTCCCAGTAGATAGTTGTATGTCATAGCTGCACCTCCTTCTAGTTGCTGTATGTGGGACGCGGCGTCAGCATGGCCGGAGAAGCGGTGCGTCGGTGCGCGCCCGGAATCCGAACCCAGGCCGCCAGCAGCGGAGTGCACGCACTTAACCGCTAAGCCACAGGGCCAGCCCTAACATGGGTTTAGTAATGCAGAATATTCAGAATTTAAGGCACCCCTATGAGATGGGATTGGGAAGTTGGTTAGACTTGGGATACAAAATGACATTGGTTTCTGGAAAAATTAAATTGCCTTTTAATTGGAAAAGTGTATGTTTAATAATTGACTTCCTGCTGGTTCAAACAATGATATGCAATCACGTGTACACATCCAACAAAATATTTCTGAAGTGTGTGCTTGGTCAGCAGCATAAAGCAGAGCAAATGCATGGGCAATGAGGCCTTTTTCTTAATATTTCTCATCCTCTAAAATCTGTTAAAATCATAATTTTACAAGGCTCACACACTGGCAGCTTCCCCCGCACAATTCACCATTATACGGCATTCTGTACATGAGACCAGGTCGCTCTCTATCCAAGGAGGTTTAGCTACCAGAAAACTTCCTAGACCCTATGAAAACTGCACTACAAGAAAGGTCCCCCCCTCACTTCCCTAAACAACTTTTCCAATTTCTAGTCACCTACCTATCAATTAGTAAAATAAGATTCTCTTGAGTTCACTCTGTCCTTCTCCACCCTTACTCATCTATAAATTTACTATTCCTATTTTCTATAGGAAGACAATGGAAAGTGTATAACTGCTGTTGGTAGATAAGTAGATCTTGAATTTATTTTGCAAACAAGAACTGTTCTATCTACCTTTTCATTTAGGAGGCTAAAAGCAGAGTCAGCTTGACTTCAAGGACTCCATTCTCTTAAGTCTCCAGAGAATATGACCAAGTTCAGCTTTTAAAACACTGTCTTCTAGTATGTCAATATATTAAGGGAATGAGAATTTACAATAATAATAATTATTATTATTATTATTATTATTTTTTGTGAGGAAGATCGGCCCTGAGCTAACATCTGCCAACCCTCCTCTTTTTTTGCTGAGGAAGACAGCTAACATCCAGGCCCATCTTCCTCCACTTTATATGGGACGCCACCACAGCACGGCTTGACAAGCGGCGCGTCGGTGCGCGCCGGGGATCCAAACCGGTGAACCCCGGGCCGTCGCAGCAAAGCGCGCGCACTTGACAGCTTGTGCCACCGGGCCGGCCCCGAGAATTTATTATTTTTATAACTTCAAGCTTTAAAAGACTTGAACTCTTACATATGCTTGCTTCACTGCAGTGGTTAGTCAATCTAAAATGCAAGATAAGAGTTTGTGATTTGGAAAGAAGACTCCAGCCAGTTAGCATCTTTTCTGTCAGTTAGGAAGTCTCCTGGAAGGAGTGTGGCGATGAGCTGGGCACAACAATTCCCCAAGTTAGAAATTATTTTAGAGATGCTATTGAATGCTGGTTCTTGTCAAGTAGATCATGTCCTACTACTTCACTGTTTGTTTTCTGCTATTTCCCATCCCAGTAAAAAATTAAGCCCGACTCACTGATTGATTGCTTTTTCTTCATTTTCCCAGACTTTAACAGAATCAGGTTTTTCTGCTCTATTTCCACCCTACTCGAATCCTGGTAGAATTAAACTATCGTTTATTATTATACAAATTCAACTAAACAGCATGTAGCCGATTAAAACAACACACAGTCACTCAGACATAGCCAATACAAATGTTTTTGTATTATGAACTTGGATTCAAATCTTGCTCTCTCCCCCATGCTCATTCCTAAGTCTAAACATAGGTCTTTTCTTTGAAAGGAGCTTAAGAGACCTCCCTTAAACTCAAATAGACAGGATAGGAGACAAGAATATAATCCATTCACTGGGAAAGCACCCAACCAACAAAATTGAGATTTCCCAGCTGTGCATTTTAACAAAGCAGGAAATTAGTTTTCAGTGACGGATTTACTGAGTAGACACATTACTTCTCAGCAAACTCAGAAAGATTCCTACCTTTTGACTTCCTTTCATATCCCAAATACCCATCCAATTAAGGGGGAGAGGGGCAGTGAGAGAGAAAAAACAAGAGAAGCACAATCCAAAAGTAAGGACAGAGCTCTGAACGTATAAAATACGCAATAGCATCTTTTGTACAATCTAATTTATAAACCAGCCACAGATTCCTAGGCACCTAGAATGGACCTCCCCTTCCTTGTCCACCTAATGCCTGTATAGCTCAGGTCACTTCTTGGAAGCACTGCCTAATTCCTCCCTCTCCCAGGCTGAGTTAAGTGCCACACACTCACCTCTTTTAGCACACTTAAGTGGCTGTACTGCAACCACTGGCCTGCCTCTATTCCACTTGACTGTTAAGTTAAGCAAATCAAAGGCAGGAATTGTGCCTTCATAATCTCTAAAGGATCAGAACATGGAAACAACAGCATCTGCTTTCAAAGAGCTCATATACCTGAAAAGAGAAAAAAGACATCAAACTGTCTTCCAAATTAAAAGAAAATCCTCTTCTGTAGAAAGCAACACAGCTTTCAAATTTGTGTGTGTTGCAGGGGGAGAAAGGGAAGGTTAAAAATACATACAAATCGGGGCTAGCCCCATGGCGTGGTAGTTAAGTGCGTGTGCTCCGCTGCTGGTGGCCTGGGTTTGGATCCCAGGCGTGCACTGATGCACTGCTTGTCAGGCCATGCTGTGGCAGCGTCCCATATAAAGTAGAGGAAGATGGGCACACATGTTAGCCCAGGGCCAGCCTTCCTCAGCAAAAAGAGGATTGGCAGATGTTAGCTCAGGGCTGATCTTCCTCACACACACACAAAAAATACATATGAGTCATTCTCAACCTTTCTTCTGTCCTAATACACCTGAGGGATCCGACACATAATCCCATTAGTAACAGCGCTCCATGGTGACTTCTAACCTGGGAAGAGTGGGAGGGGGCTTAGGAGAATCTGGCAGGTAGGGAAGATGCATGTGGTTTAGAATGCTCCTCCCCCATACTGCAAGAGTCCTTTGATATTTAATATTACAGTTTTGACTATTCTTAAGAGAGCCCAAAGATCTACAACATATGTATTTTAAATGCTCCAAAACATAAATTGGGTTCGTATGGCCCGGAGGCTGGTGAGTAGAAGTTACCCTCTTAGCCCTGAGAGAGCTTGATGGACAATCTGATATTACAGCACAACATGACTCTGTGGCTCTCTGCTGGTCTTAGAATCGAAAACTTTTACGGAGGAAAGTGTATGCTGTAAAGGTAATGACAAACTTAAGGACTTAAAAGGATCACAGGTGATTGCTTCTCAAATGTCAAGTGTCTTTTAAGAATCATTTTATGGGAAAGACTTCCTCACAAATGATATAAGCAACAATTAAAGTAGCTCAGTACCAAACAGCAGCCCCTTCCCCCCAACTTCGGCCACATTTATGTATTATACGTAGGGTGAACATCAGATGGACGCCCCCCTCATTACTGAAATGTCATCCTTTCGTAAAAAGTTGACGGATGGCTAGAATTGTCAGACAGTGCAAGTCTATGTTTCATTATTTTAAATCAGAAAAATAACTTCCCAGCCCTTCAAAGAACTTCAGCCAATTTCCCCCAAATAACCACATATAACTATCTATCAAGGATTGCTGCAAAATAGAAGGCATTTTAAGCACCTATTAAATTACCTATTTATGTAATAATTACGAACTCAGCTGTGGGCACGTTTCTGTGCAGTTACTAATCCACTGAAATGTCACGTGAATTCTGGAAGACAGAGAAGGGAGATGGAGGCTGTAACCTGCTGCCGGTCACTGGTAGGGGAAGGTGAGCAAGTTAACTGGCCAAGGGAGCAAGTGAAACAGAAACCGGCTGTGGCTTGTCCATGTCCAAATCCACACAACTGTGGAGTCTTCTGTTCTTAGCTCTTGACTCTCTAGGAGTTGGTCTCAACCATTGTCTGAAGCCTTATACAAATCAACAGGATGAAGAGAACACAAAATGGACATCTGTTTGTATTCCCTGTGCCTCAATACAAGTCTTAGAAATATAACACCGTCCTTATTATTGCATATTTAAGGTGATATTTCTGCTCATGTCACAATCACTTGCAATAGCAATAATTTGTCTACATCATCTAAAATTTCTTTGAAACATCTGCATAGAGCAGTTGTTCTTTAAGTGTGGTCCCAGTGGGGACCCTGACATCCTTTCAGGGGGTTAGTCAAGTCAAAACTATTTTCATAATAATACTAAGACATTATTTGCCCTTTTCACTCTCATTCCATGAATATACAGCAGAGTTCAATCAGAGGCTACACGACCTGTGAGGATACCCATCACTTTAACAACTAAAAAACTGTGTTCTTGTATACAGGCATATCTCCTAGATTTTGTGGGTTCAGTTCTAGACCACTGCAATAAAGCAAATATCACAATAAAGCAAGTCATACAAATTTTTTGGTTTCCCAGTGCATATAAAAGTTATGTTTACACTATACTGTAGTCTATTAAGTATGCAATAGCATTGTGTCTAAAAAAACAATGTACATACCTTAATTAAAAAATACTTTATTGCTAAAAAACGCTAACTATCATCTGAGCCTTCAGTGAGCAGTAATCTTTTCGCTGGTGGAGGGTCTTGCAAAAAATGCAGCATCTGCGAAACTCAATAAAGTGAAGCATAAATATAACAAAGTATGCCTGTATTCCTGTTTTTAGATACTTCTCAATTTTAATTTCTAATACCATAAATATTGATATATAACCCACATAAATGAAAGCTCTTTGGAATCCTCAATAATTTTTAAGGGAATCCTGAGAGCAAAAAGTTTGAAAATCGTTTATAGAGTATTCATGGCTCCCCCATAATGAACATCTAGTTGAATGAGTTCCTCAGCAGTAAGAGTTCCCCTATGTGACACCAACAGTTTTTCAGTATTTGCTAAAATAACCCATTGTTGTTTTCTAGACCTCTTTGGCTCACCCACTTTTCTACATTTCCATTTAATAATATGAGAGAGATGAAAAGATAATGCACAATACATTTAAACAGCTTGAGTGCCAAACACATTATTACTTAAGAAGACAGCAGAGGTATGACTGCAGTGCACTCCACAGCATCTCACCTGGACTTGCCGGCAACTTAGAAGTTCTTTATAGCCGGTTTCTGACTCAGTGTTTTGGATATACATTTCCACGGTTGTTACAGCAAATATTCACAGTGAGAGCTCCGATAATGGTTAGCTCTAAGTCTTCCAGGGTGAGCCCATATCTACGAACCCCAGGACTTTCTGTGTAAAGGTATGTAACAGGTAATGCAAGTTCCATCCTCACATTTTGTTACTACACATACGCTGCTGCATAGGAAATGACAGAAGCGACATGCCAGACTCATCTGCATCTATGGAGCATCTAAAATGTACATAAATGACACAGTTCTAACTCTTGACACATCCTGACCTTGTCTTTGATGGATTCCCACTGCACCTAGAGGTACAGACCCAACCTCTTCACTCCTTTTCATTCCCCCCACCAAAAGACGAATTGTTTCGCAATCCAAAGAGACAGCACGGTGTGGAAGAAAGCATTCTGAGCTGGAAATGAAGAGATCTCGTTTCTGGTCCCGGTTCTATCACCAACAAACGGTGTGGCTTTCGGCCTGTTTCCTCTCACTGCCCTTCAGTTTAAGATAAAACGAGGCGTATGAGCTCGATGGTTCTGTTCCGCCTCTAATACCAAATGTCTTTGCCGGCAGATTCAGGAAGGTTAAAAATTACCAACTGTGTGTGTTTTCAAATTAACGCAACAGGTGCTGCTGCCTCGAGCAGGAGCCGCCGGCTCAGAACGTCTGGGTTTGCACAGGCCCTCACATCATATCCCTTACAAGACACAGGGTATCACCGAGGTGAAATGCACCTACTGAGTTTCTTTCTTAAACTTTACTCCGAGTGTGTATTTCCCCCTTCCACATCTAGCCCCACCACAGTTCCGTGAGCTACCAAGCTCGTTTTCCAGACGAGATCGAGGAAGCTGAACACGAGTCAGGTAGGAATGAGACCTGGGTCTCTGGCGGCGCTGACCCCGCGACAAATACAGCGGCCCCTCACCTCTACTTCGGCTCCCCGCCGGATCCCTGAAGCCTGACACTCCAGCCTGCCTACCAGGACGCTGCCATCACCCGCCCCACAAACCGGTCACAGCTCGGCCTTACGGCCCACAACAAGAAAGCCAGCCTGCGAGTATCTGATTTCGTTCGCAACTCCTCTCTCTTTCCGGCGGAAAAGTCCTTTCCGGCTTCCGGGGCGTGAGGAAGTCCCGCCCCACGCAACAGCGTGATGTTGCGGGGTGCGCCGAGGCGGCGCGCGCAGGCTCGGGAAGGGTCCAGCTGTCAACGCTCCGTGGTCGCTGGTGGAACATCGGGGTGGGGGTCCGTGGAGCTCGGTGGAGGGCCGGGAGCCGTTCAGCGGGGCCTGGGAGAGCGGCTTGGAGACTCAGTAGCCTCAAAAATTCCCTCCTTGCCCCACGGGCGCCCTCCGGAGCATCAAGGCCCCGTCTCCCCAGCTGCCCCGTGTTGTATTTGGTATCTTACTGTCTTTGTTTATCTTTGTAGCCCCGTTTCTTGCCGTAATCTTGGCTACCACTTACTGAGCCTTGGCTGCACGTCACCTGACAGCAGGAGCTCATAAGCGTCTGGTGACTCTTGATTACTACCACTGCTGCGAACTTGCTCATTCCTTTACCGGGGAAGGGGTGGAGCCCCCACATAGCCCTCGACTGGACTGTGGATATGGCACTGTTGCAGCTAGGAAGATAAATTAGAAATTAAAATTGCCGCTTTAATTTCCTAGGGCTGCCACACCGAAGTACCACAAATTGGGTGGCTTAAAACAACATATTCATTGGCTCACAGTTCTGGAGGCTAGAAGTCTGAAACTAGGTGTGGGCAGGATCATGTTCCTCTGAGACTCTGGGTAAAATCCTTCCGTGTCTCTTCCTAGTTTCTGGTGGTGTCCGGCAATCCTTGGCGTTCTTTGGTTCGTAGCTGCATCACTTCAGTCTCTTAACTCGGTTCTTACATGGTGTTCTGTGTGTCCCTGTCTCTGTGTCTCTTCTCTTAAAGGACACCAGTCTTCTTGGATAAAGGGCCTACCCTACTCTAGTATGACCTGACCTTAACAAATTACATTTGCAGTGACACTATTTTCAAATAAAGTCACATTCTAAGGTTCCAGGAAAGACAGGAATGGGGGGGTGGGGGGTTGATGTTAACAAGAGCTTAAGAAATAGGCAAGCCAAAAGTTGACGGTAAATAACTGTAATACAAGTGAATTCAAACATAGTTCACTTGGATCTGAGAAGTTTTCATGGACATTTGGGTTAGTCCCTTGATAGGTGGGTAAGATTTGGTGCCATCACAGACCATCATAGACAACATGCTAGGCAAACAAACATCACAGACAAGGAAGCACAGGTTGAAATGTAAAATAAGTTAGGTTAAAGTAGGAAGGATTTTGAATGCAAGCT